CAGTATGCACCCTAATTGTATCCACTGATTTGCAAAGAACTACCTGGAGGAATTCAAAGTTCCTGTACTGTGATTTATGTGGTACCTGCTATCATTTCAACAGCCTGCTATTGCTATTGCTGCCTGGTTAAAAATCAGAATTAAACAAAGCATTTAACTGCATTTTGAACTTTCAGCTTGCTATTTCAGATAGTTTTTTTGTTAATGGATGTTTTATTTTGTATGAATATCTAGGTTTATCTACTAGTCACTTTGCCTGGGCATTTCATTCAGTAGCAGAAGAAGAACTACTGAATATGCTTCCTGCAATGCAGAAAGGAGATCCAACTTGGTCAGAACTCAGAGCCATGGGTGTAGGATGGTGGGTTCGAAATATCCATACATTGCGCAGATGCATAGAGAAGGTAAATGCAGCTGATTGAAGGCCAGTTAGTTTAAGCTAAACATAATTTGTTTAATTAAAAGTTCTGCAGGTATTTTGTGATGTAGGGACCTTAAAGGTAAGGATTTTATGTTGAGGATGATACCAAAGGAGGACATATCTTGTCCCTTTCTATAGATCTTTTTTCACTGAGTCTTGAGATCAGGCTGCATCTTCAAATATGTGTTTTAAAACTTGATTTATTTATTTTTAAGAATGCTTGATTCTGCATAGTTTGGTAGGGAATACACAACACAAAGCATGCAAAATTTCGTAAATGATCAGTCAATATTTGGATACAACCTGTCAAGTAATTTTTAGCATACAGGCTTCAACATTGCTTCAGCAGTCTTAAATGTCATACATAGTCCATGTTAAGAAATTATGCCTACTGAGGAGGGGTATAGTTTCACTCTGACAAACCTAGCAAAAATGAAGCAAACAGGCTACTGTACATCTTCCATGAAAACAGATTAATGAGGTTACCAAATGCTTAGAGGATGCATTATTTAGAAACTGTTGTTTTAATAAATTGTCACAGGGATTTAGAAGTGAGTTAGTCCTAATAAGAAAATTGGAATTGCTCTTTTTCAAGATTTAAGGGCTTTTAATTCCTCTCCTTCTGCAATGAGATAAAACATTCCAAAAAGAAGGCTGTGTCACAACTCACGTTTTCAGTCTTCCAAGGTTAAATTCAGCATACATTTTCACTGCCCAGTATTCAGGTTAAAGGAGCTTTTAGCATCTGTTACTGACTGATTGGGGCTAGGGAGAACTGTTTATCTGACCTTCCTCTTCTCTGATTTGAGTCATTGCCCTCTTCTACCAGCTTCACCTGGCTTTTTAGAATTGAGTCAGGGCAGTTAGTTCTTGTCATTTCTAGCTAATAGTTACAGCAGCCTAACTGAGACCCACATGTCTTCACTAAAGTTGCTAAAATTCTGCAACATAAATAGTTATCAAATGGATGGGGAGGGTCAGATGGACAGTGCTATATTGCACCCTGCTGTTGCATACCTTCAGTCATTCTACTGCATCGTGGGCTTCTACTGACCAGCTGTAGGGGCCAGAAATAACTAAATTATTTTAGTTTCTTATGTCAAGGGCTGAAAACAGACATCACCTTTGTGCTGCCATAAACCTTTTTTTCTGGTGGCGCAAAGCAAAAGAAAACAAATGTCTCTGTTCTTTGTCATACCCCAAGTGCCCAAATCCGTGGCTCTGACAAAAGATAGTGTTAATTTATGCTGCTATTTTGTGGTGGATGTCTTTTGCTTTTTTTTATGGCAGGATGTCTGTTTGCTTTATAGGCGTTCTATTTGAAACGACCCCAGCAAGGTGTTCATCTAGCCTCCTCGTAAAGACCCCCAGGGTAGGAGCCAGCACCACTTCTCTTGGAAGTTGGTTCCAGATCCTAGCCGCCCTGACAGTGAAGTAGCGCCTCCTGATGTCTAGTCTGAATCTACCCTCTGCCAGCTTGTGACTGTTATTCCTAGTCACTCCTGATAGTGCTTGGGGGAACAGGGATTCCCCCAATGCCTGCTGGTCCCCTCTGACTAGTTTGTAACAGGCCACTAGATCCCCCCTCAGCCTTCTCTTGTGGAGGCTGAATAGGTTCAGGTCCCATAGCCTGTCCTCTTAGGGCCTGCCCT